CGAATGGAACATCCTTGACGTCGGTTTTCTCTTTCTTGACGTATATTTCAAAACAAAAAAAAATTTAGAATATGATAAAAGATAAAAAAAAACTTTTTAACCTTGAATATATCAGATATTTATCAATAGATAAAACAATGTGTATTGAATTAATTATTTATAGTAGAATATTTCTTAGTAAATTTTTTTCATTCAGTTTATATAATCTTACTTTCAATGTTTCAATCGAAATTTAACCAACTAGCTATTCAATCGACATCATAATTCTATATCGAGCCTTTAGATTACCACCTACAGAAAGGTCAAGTGTACCCAGCATTAGAACACATTGAGACGCAGTTTTCGAACGACTGTTTACGAGCAGTCGAGATAAGAAAAAAATGTGACCGATAGATGTCTCATTCTTCAGTTTTCGAAACCAATGGTGAAATCGTCTCTAAGATTGATTAATCGTTTACTCTCCATTGACTACTTGAGTGATCATTAGTAGGACGATTACAGAAAATAAAGGAAACATGGAATTTGAAAATAATAAGAACATTTTTTATAGTGAATTTCATGGGCTATCGATTAGTAACAAGAATATTTCTTTTTTCATCTCTCCATCTTTGAAATATCGAACGTACAAAAACCGATAATTTTGAAAGAAATAAAAAAATTCGAAGTTTTCGAAACAAATTATTCTCCAGCTATAGTCAATAGAGATCTTTCAGAATTTCTGTTTGATATAAATCGATGAAGAAGTTCACTAGTGAATTAGATATGTTTCGAAAGCTTTACGATAACTTGCCGAATTACATATGCTAACATACATAATTGACCATGGACCCACTATTGAACAGCTGAAGGGCAATCAAGAACAAAGTTAATATACAATGGCGTTCAAAATTATTCATACGCCCAATGAATAGCAATCCGATGATGACATCTTTGTTCTTATTCAAGGTATAGAGCTGTAGTCTTCAGCCAAAATGTAGCTAAGTATTGATGCTCTCTATGTTGAAAGTTTCAGCCTTATAGAGTATGTCTTGCTGATATAAGACTAAAAATAGTAAAATTGTAGAGTTTTGATTTAGCTTAAAATTATTCATTCAGGTATCGCATGAAGTAAAATGATTGCAATATCGAATATGTCGCAAATATCTCAGCATGAGTAAATCCTATAACCTTAAACTTTTTTTTAAAGATGTGCCGTAAAATTCTCTACAAGATTGACTATGAAAATGTCCTATCGGGTTCTTGTAACAATTCTTTTAAAGCTAAAAATGCAGCGCTACGAAATGGTGAACTGTCTTATTTTTGTTTCTTTTGGAATAAAGAGATACATTACCATTTTCGCAGTCTTCACTTTTAGCTTTAAAAGAAAATTGTTACAAGAACCCGATAGGGCATATTCATAGTCAATCTTGTAGAGAATTTTACGGCGCATCTTTAAAAAAAAATTTAAGGCTATAGGACCTACTCATGCTAAGGTATTTGCAGCATACTCGATATTGCAATCATTTTACTTCATGCGATACCTGAATGAATAATTTTAAGCTAAATCAAAACTCTACAATTTTACCATTTTTAACCTTATATCATCAAGACATGCTCTATAGGGCTAAAACTTTCAATATAGAGAGCATCAGTACTTAGCAACATTTTCCCAAAGAGTACAGCTCTATGCCTTGAATAAGAACAAAGATATCATCATCGGATCGTTATTCGTACGGTGTATGAATAATTTTGAGCTCCATTGTATGTCAATACAATGATGACTAATATTATGAATTAATCATTATTCACGTTAATTTATATAATAAGAATGTACCTCCTTGACATCATATGACTAATGTAATGGAAGCTGGAAAGACATTGAAATCATTCTGCCGTATTTCAAGATTTCAGTATCAATGAAGTACAATCAATTATTTGAGCTTTCTTACCAAAAAGACTTGGAGAAAATGAACTTAAACTAAATATGTTCGTGACACGCTTTGAAATAGCTAAAAAATTCTAGAGAATAGCTTTAATATATCCTTGGAGTATGGAATTTCCGCTTTTTCTCCCTTGGATACATTTCATACTGCTTTTCATTCGATATGTTTCATAGAGATATTTATTATATTGCTTAGGTCAGTCCAAAAGTAGTGAGAGTGACGCTTTAATATCTTATAGTAAGCTGAAGAAGAGTTTCTTTTCTTATGAAACGATAGAGAAAAAAACGCTCTATCTTTTTATACTATTTGATCATACTTTAGCTGATATTATGATAGAAAAGTTTTCATAAGATTCGTTTCGGTATGATGTGTTTTGGTTACGACAATATATAAGGATGTTTTCTAAAAACTGAGGATACTTTGTATAGATATTTTTCATACTTTTGGTGGATGTAGAGAACTGAAACTTTTATCACATATATATCTAATCATGACCTTTTATTTCTAAAAGTTTCAACTCTCTAGCTGCTACTAATGGTAAAATACATCGATAAGATTGAATTACTTAATTTGTCGTACTCGATTTTTGCCTCATTTTTCATAGTGGAAAGTAAACGATAAGTAGAGTACGAAAAATTATGTAGTTCAATCTTATCGATGTATTTTACTATCAGTAACAGCTAGAGAGTTGAAACTTTCAGAAATAAAAGGACATTATTAGATATATATGTGATAAAAGTTTCAGTTCTCTACATCCACCAAAAGTATGAAAAATATCTATACAAAATATCCTCAGGTTTTAGAAAACACCCTTATGTATTGTCGTAACCAAAACACATCATACCGAAACGAATCTTATGAAAACTTTCCTATCATAATATTAACTAAAGTATGATCAAATAGCATAGAAAGATGGAGTGTTTTTTTTCCCTATCGTTTCATACGACAAGAAACTCTTCTTCAATTTATTATAAGGCATTAAAGCGTCACTCTCACTACTTTTGGACTGACTTAAGTAGAGAAATATGGAAAAATGTTTTGAATAAGAATAAGATCAATGCAATCATATCTCGATAATTTTGATCGATAAAAAGCTATTGATAGATCTAATAATAATTTTATTTATTTTGCTTTCTTTCATAGAAAACAATATTTAAAACGTATACATTTATGAAGAATGAAAAATAACGCAATAGATTCTAATACAATCGATTTTTCAAAACTACGACACATTTACTTTTGAAAGGATATATTTAAAAGAAAACCTACCTTGTTTTGAAATAGAAAGATTTTCTTAAAAAAAACACCAGACAATGTATCTATTAGAGTGATAATAATTTTGCTTATTTGAAATATTATATTTGGTAGTCAGTATATTCATACCTGTTGACTCTTAATCTTTCTCTTTAACTACGTTCTATAAACAAAACGTCATTCTTATCGCTTGATTAATCGACTATCAATATCTGCACCTATTGCTCTTCTTTTCTTCTTATGTAACAAAACTTTACAGGTTTCTATTTATAACTATTCATATCAATATTATATATGTACTATCGCAATGTGCAACTATAAGGACATTTGGCTAAAAATAAAAATCGCTCTTTTTCAGGATTTACCTTAGAGAAATATGCTTCGAAATATAGTCTATCTAAGTGTTCAAATAACTTTGTTACAACTTTCAAAAAATTGAAAAAGTAATTGACCAAAAAATTAGTGTGAAAATTGTGATGTTATCGGATAAATTTAGATCTGGATAAAATTAAACTGCTCCGCAGACAAATAAAGTGCATTTTCTAAATCTTCGAACCGAGCTCTATACAATGACAAAAACAAAAAAAAATACTTTTTTACCTTGCACGTTTAACTTCTGAGAAAAAAAATTATGTTTTTTTCTAGTGTGATCCAAACGGCTGGTCTCGTAAAAGAGGGTACTCTTCATGATTTTTTGATTGAAAAACTTTTTTTCTTAAAAATGCTTTTCTGCATCATATTCGATCATTTCTGAGCAAAGAAATAATCCGTTTCCGAGCAAGAAAGTCATATGTCCATTTGCCATACGAAAAATGAATACTGTAGCCATAACTCTCATTTTGATACCATTTTAAAAGTAGTCTCCTGTTTCGAATCACTTTTAGTTCTTCATGAGAATATCACTTGTCGGGCTCAAATTTTTAACATAGCTTGATTATAGAACATGATGGGATTCATGTACGAGGAAAAAAATTTTAAAAACAGATCTTCAGGGATTTTTGAAGAAACCTTTAAAAATCATTGGATCTGCTTTCGATCTCGGTCTTACTTTGTCCGATCGAGCTGAAATTTCCAGAATATATTGGAGCTATCTGCATGTTGACATAGTCTTTCAAACAAAAAAAAAGTCATTTGCTACAATGAAGTTCTTTCGAGAATTCAGAAATGCATGATCAAAAAAGAAACATAAACAGAGAAAAAGCGAAAAAAGATTTTTCATTTTGACAGAAATTTTTAGAAAAAAACGATGTACCAAATAAAAAAAGTCATGTCATCTATGAAAGATCAGATCTTGGGCAATCTGCCCATGCATTTATTTCAATATTCATGTTTTTGACGGAAATTGACTTTTTTTTTTTTGAGAACCCTTTCAAAATCCTCTGAAGATCTGCTTTAAAAAATTTTCTCTTCGAACATGACTTGTATCATTTTCTATAATCTAGCTGTGATAAAAATTTGAGTTCGATCGGTTATACTCTCACGGATAACCAGAAGTGGTTTAAAAAAGGTGGATATCCTTAAGACAATGAACTTTCAATTGTAAAAACAAATACTCAACATGATGACTTTCTTCAAGTTAGAACTTTTGAGATATTTCTTCCAATGAATTTAATTCATATAAGCATAAAATACTGTTCTATTCATTACAAGAAAAACTACAATTAAAATCTACTATAATTGTTACCAATTATTTTGTTACAAAAAAAAAATTTTAGGAAAACAAAAAGACTATGCCCAAATATAATTTATACAAGAAAAAAAGAACAGACATATAAAACTAAAATTAATTTAGTCAAAGACAAAAAACCCTAAAAAAAATCGATATCATGAAATATGAAGCAATGATTTCATCAATGGTAACAGTTCATTCTCGTCCGTTTTTGATAAATTTTGTTCTATATCATGCCGTAAATTTTTTTCAAGTTTTTGCCATATTAAAAATCGTCTAATAATTTTATTATATATACGAAAAGCTTGTTTAAAACCATGTATTATTTCCATATATTTCCATAATAATTCTATATAATAATTTTGTGCACGATAAACAGCCATATTATCATTAAGAATTGGTTCTGGTACACCATCACCTGTTGAAAGACCTTTAGTTAGAAAAAGGACAATAAGTGATAATTGTATTATTTTATAATCATAGAATTTAATATGTACAAATGATCGAAAGATTTTTTTCATTTGTAAACAATTTTCATTTCCATGAATTGTTCGCAATATAGATAAATTCCATGGTACATCAATATCAATTTCTCGAAATTGTTTCGTATCTATTTTATATAAAAGTGCACTATTAATAATAAAAAGTGACAAAAGATTATATTTTGTTAAAATAAGTTTATCATTAACATTTAATTGATTAAATTCAGGTATTTGTTTGAAAAATGTTAAAAGATGCATTGCAGGTACTGAATGAGAATTTATATATTGTAAAAGAGTTGTTGCATATACAGATGGATTCCATGGAAGACCATCACGAGCAGCTAAAATAAAGATAAAAAATAATTTATTTAAAAATATTTTCTGGAGCTGTTTGAGCGAAACGCTAGAACTTCTAAAAAACCAAATAATCGTTTTTACGATTGAATACTAAACGTTTGTCTCTAATAGATACAGTTTATTGGAATCAGACTTTTATTTTCGTCGTTATAATAAGATTCCGGAATTTCACCCATGGGACTTTCGCCATTGACAAAAACCTTATTGATGGGATTCCGACCACCTGTTATAATAGGAAAAATTACATTTCGACCAATTAGGTGATTGTAATTGGAAAGAAACTAAAAGGCAAGTATTGTGAAATTCATTATTAAGAAAATTCTATTAATAGATATCAACATTTTTCTAATGAACACTATGCATCGATTCCCTTATTCTGTTGGTCTGATTCACTATCTATCGGACAAACATTTCTCTAAGGTCGGTCTAACAAAGAAAAAATAATAAGTTAATAGTAATGGAAATTATTTTGAAAAGAACTCAATATTTGATTGGTTTTGATCTTTATATATTGTTCCATCGACGAAATAGATTTTAATTTGGCTGCAAGAATGTCAATTATTACGATGGACATCATTTGATGAATTTATAATTTAGTTATATGCTACATATAATATGGAGATGTAAAACAAATTTAGAAACATTCGTTTGTAAACATTCTACTGGTCTTATGATTTATTTTGGTTATAATAATACATCTGATTCAGCAAAATTCCAAGACTTAGGAAAGCAACGTAGACGATCGAAAATAACGATAGCAGCTCGATCTCAATTCTTTTATATAAACTTTTTTCTATCTGTAATATTTTATTATTTTTTGTTTTTCTTAATTGAACCAGGTTCAAAACATAATTTTCTCTTATCTCTAACATTAACTGTATTCATGGTTATTATATAGAAAATCAAATGTTCAATGAAAATGACAGCTAACTTTTGTTGCTGTCTTCATTTTGATTATATTCAATATAAAAAAAAACAAAATCTCCTAAGATTTGTCATCTTATCAGACTCTCCATAAATACATGAAACCTTTTAATAAAGAGCAAAAAAAGAGATGGTGTCGCTCTACCCTCGATATGTTATCTGATGTTTCATTCTTGCGATCATCATGACACAAAATGTTGACTTTCAATGCGTGCATATAAAAAGAAAGAAAAGCTCGTGATGAACTACTATCTAGGTGTTTTACGCCTTAAAAAAGCTTGCGAGTCTGGATGAATTATTTAATATGTCAGAAATATTAATCCTTGGATGCTTAATGAGTTTTTCTACATTTTTAGAATATACTAACCGAGTTCAATACGTTTTTCAAACGCAATTTGAACAGCTTCTATACATTGTATATCTTCTAAACTTAGCATTTTTTGATTTGATTGGAATGATGATTGTGGTAAAAATTCAGTAAAACCTGTAGAAATCATATTTGTTGTATTGGATGTTAAGAACTGAAAAGAAAAACATATTAAATTAATATGAAACAAAATCTAATTTACATGATTTGGAAATGTTGATGATCTCAATTCAGATCTTTGTTTATATATTTTATTATTTGTTTGTGATATAAAATTTTGATTTTCTTTTGTCATGTGGCGATTTTTTGCTTTTTCTTCAGCCTAAAAATTTGAAAATAATTCTTTTTCTGGCATTTTTATGTTTAAATCAATACTTTCAGTAGTCGATCACGTTTCATTCCATTAATAAGACATTTAGCTAGACGACATGCTGAGCAATGTCGTCGTGTATTGAATGTTATTTCACAAGCATTATTATGACGACAGCAAAATGCTCCCTATATATAGATATAAAACAAAAGAAAAGATCGAATGAAAACTTAAAATTCTTTTATACAAGCAAGGAAATATTTCATACGTACTGAATTTTTTAGTGCATTACGACGAAAGAAGATTTTGCAACTTTCACATGTAATAACACCAAAATTGCGTCCTAGAGCTAATGATCCGCAAATAGCACAAATCAATGAAGTATTTTTTGTCTTTCTATGATTTGTTGATTGATTATAATATGGTGGCTGCAAACATAATAGATGATTTGTCTTCTATATTAGAAGAAAGATTTTAGTTATTACCAATCGATTAATGTTTCTTTCACATTCTGAAAAAACTGTTTCGAATGATGATGGATGATTATTAATTTCAATTTGGTCAATAATCCTGTCATCACTAGTAATGATCATCATTTGATGTTGGTTGAAATTCATTGCAGTTGCCATTATTGAAAAAAAAATTTTTTTTTTCTGAAAAACAAAATACTTTGGTTGAATAAGATATTGTTTCTTTCCAATACATTAATTACTTAAATAATCTTATTGACGAATATTTCGAATTATTTAAAAAATTTTATGTAGATGAACGTTTTATTAAGATAATTTCATAAGTGACTTAAATTTTTATCTTCTAAAATCAGGAAACAAAATGATATAAACAAATAAAATGAATTATTTGATCCATTATCTTGCTTGAACATCTATCACATTTATAAAAATTGATAGCAGTTAACATCTATTGTCTCATTAATTAGCTCTTCATTAAAAGAGAACAATCATGAAAAAAACTTTACATACCTAAATAGTAATTTCTCACGTTATGTTGTAATATAACAATTTACCCGAAGACGGAGTAGAAAAATTGGGAATATTTTTTAACTTAAAGGTTAACAATGTACCCAGTGAAACCTATATACGTACGTTTTGTATCAAAATAGTCTCAGTTTGTGATTATATATCATGAATTGAATTCAATTAATTCGTACTGTGAATGTGTAAAATACAAAAGTAGTAAATGTTCAAACTGAGAGACTGATTGTCTAGCGTAGTATTACTCTAACAGTGGGAAGCTATAAAAACAGCTAAAGAAAAGAAATAAGACAAAAAAAAAGAAAAAGAAAAATATTTTTTTATAATCAGTAGAGAACAAGTACTGTCTTCAGAAAAAGAATAAGGACAAAAAGCAAAAATCAACGAATATGAATAACAAATTTAATTAACATTTTTAAAGATATGAAATAGCAAAATCTAATTATTGGTAACAAAACATGAAAACAAAAGAGAATTTTTGCTAAAATCAAAAGAGATAATTACATTAGCACTTAACAGAGACCTATCTCCCAAAACAAATTATTTTGAAAATCACGAAACGAGAAGGTATTAGTACATTGAGAATAACATATTATCTTCTTGCTGTTTGATATTGCATAAAAAGTAGAGCGTCTACGGAAGTTTCTTTTAGGTCCCTGAGAATGAAACTTCAAAAACAAAACACAATTACTCACATTTGCCGTCCTTCTCATAATAACAATGCGACAGAAAGCATTGCATTTTTTCTTTAATCCTTTAGCAGCCTTTTTTTTAATGCAGCCCGAAACACAACAGTCTTTGTGTGGGCCTTCTTCTGACTTCGTTGATGTACCCATGAAAAGGTCGTATTTGACGTTGTGACGTGCACGAATCAAAAATAAAAAAATATTCGTCCAAACGCAAGATGGAAATATCAAAGTCGAATTGAAACCATTCGTTTTCTAGTATACCGTATGAAGCTGTGTTTAGTAAAAGCAAGCTCGACAAAAAGACAAATTTTTGTGGTCTGATGAAAATACGGAGATTGAATCGACAGCATTTGTTTTTTGATTTTTACTAGTAGCTTCAGTTTGTTTATAGAAAATCTGACAAAATTGGGTTTTTTTTGCAACATTCAAGATAATTAAAACGAAGACTAAAATGGAATTCTTTTGATAATGATTTTCGTAAAGCTTACTATCAATTTCTTTCGGATTTCAATAATTTGTAAATATCTTTTAGAGAAAAGCATTTTGTACTTATTCGTAAAAAAACAATTATTTGTTTTTTTTTTCGATATAACAACATTCGAATTTTTACAGTCGAGCATAACTCGAATGCCATCTACAGTTTTATATATGGATAATATATATCAGTACATTCAACTATTAATGGATAAAAATCACTCTCAAAAACATGTGTAGATCAAATTAAGACTGTTAGAATTCTTTTGAGAATATGTAACAAAGAAAGAAAATTGTCGTTATTTTTTCTTAGATAAATAAAATGAATAGAAGAAAAACAAAAGTTTATAATTACAACACATTCAAGTACATATGAGAATGCAATTATTGTGACTATTATTGACTACCTAGGAAGTGTTTCATTCATTGTTTTTTTTTAATGTTTTTCTATTGGTAATTGATGATTTCGTCTTATGTGAATATATTGAACGACTATAGAAATTTATATGAAAGAATATTTTGTTGTATTATTAAAGAGATTTGTAGTTCTTTTTTTTTCTTCAATTTTTACTTTCACATTTTGAAGTAAAAATTGCACTTTTAATATGATTGATTGTTGCCTTCGTGTATAAAAGAAAGTAGAACATCTGGTATTTTTGAAATATCAATGAGAAAAAGTAAGATGTCAATTTCATTTAAAAAAAACATTTTACTGTAGATTTGTACTTCGTTTTAAGATCGATTATAATGATAGGAAGTAAATGTCAAGTATTGAATATATTCGACATTTTAATATATACTGCAACTCTCTTTGTAATTACTATTTTTGAAAAGATAATAATCAGAAAAAAAAAGTATTAAATTCTATATGAAAAAATTCAAAACATTATAACTTACATAGTTTTCAATAGCTATTTTCAATTTATCTATAACAACACATATCATTAGTTACCATTCCTGATAGGTTTTATTACATTGATCGACATTTATTATATGTTACTTTTTTGTGACAGACAAAAGAAAAGAAAAGAAAAGAAACTGGTTTTCATAGTATGTACTTTAGGTAGACGACGACGAAAAAGTACAAATAAGACTTACACACACAGATTGACAATATTTTGAAGAGAAACAGCGCACAATACGAAAGTATGTAATATAAAACGAAATAATAGATGGTGTCTTTTTGTTTATCTCCCATGCTATATATATCCTTTATTTTTTTAATCTTGTACAGATTTAAATATGTCCTTCAAGAGAAAAATTGGAAAAAGAGTAAAGATCGAACGTTGTTTTAATATAAAAACAGTTTGATTTTGATAAAGACTAATAGTATACAGGAACTATTTTTACTTTGTATAAAGAAAGAAGATTCATTTTTGAAAAAAAGTAAATCATAGTTTGATATATAGAAAAAATTTTTACGTATAAAACAATTATTTGCTATTTATTGAAATTCATCTTCTTAATTGATTTTTTTTCTATTCAACTGATCATGTAACTATTTTTTACAATAGTAAAGTTATTATGACAATACTATGGTTATTGTATGTGTAAATATAATCATTCAACTAATCATAGTTACTTATGTGAAAGGATCTAATGAAGATAAATAGATATCAAACTCAATTATTACAGGATACTATCTTGATTAATCATCTTATATACATTTAATTAATTCATTTGATGTAATATTTAACTTAGCGGTTGAAATACTAGAATGATGTATTGGCATGATTTTCAATTTTTGTAAAATTGTTTTACTGATTTTTTCCGATACTCTTGAATAATATTTACTCATTGAGGTTGGATTTTGCTAGTTGCAAGGATTATCGAGAAATGTTAGACGAAGAATCAATTTCATAGTTATTGTAGCTGCAGATGAAAATATTCTATATTTCAATTATAAACTATTATGATGTAGAACAATCCTAATATTGATTCGTACGATATACATAAATATATTTATCATCAATTATTTTGTTACAATGATATAATAGAGCAAAAAAAAAAAGTAATAATATTTACATTCAACAAAAAAAAAGATTCAAAAAGTAAATTTCTCATTTTAATTATTACATCCATAAAACTGTTTAGAGATAAAAAAAAAAAAGTAAATGAACTTCTATAATACAATTAATATTATGATATATGAAATAATGATTTCATTAATGGTAATAATTCACTCTTATCACTTAATAATAAATTTCGTTCAACATTATCTCGAAGTTTTTTATGAAGTGTTTGCCATGTTATAAAATGTGTTATAACTTTTCTCCATACATGAATAACTTTTTCAGGTCCATGTACTGTTTCAATATATTTCCATAATAATTCTATATAATAATTTTGTGCACGATAAACAGCCATACCATCATTAAGAATAGGTTCAAGTTCACCATCACCTGTTGAAAAACCTTTTGTTAATATAAGTGTTATAAGTATTAATTGAATTATTCGTTGATCATATTGTGCAATATATACAAATGATTCAAAGATTTTTCTCATTTGTAAATAACCATCATAACCATAAACTTCTTGTATAATAGATGAATCCCATGGTACATCAGAATCAGTTTCAACAATTTGATCTGTTTCAATTTTATATGAAAGTGTACAATTAATACATAAAAGTGGTAAAAGATTAAATTTAATTAATGTAACTTTATCATCAACATCTAATTCATTAAATTCTGGTATTTGTTTAAAAAATGTTAATAATCTTATCAATGGTACTGAATGACTATTAAGTTTTTGTAAAAATGTCATTGCATGTGTTGATGGATTCCACGGAAGACCATCACGAGCTGGATTTAAATTATAATAAAAAAAAAAAAGAACCTGAAAAAAAATATCTTACCTAGTTCAATACGTTTTTGATATAAAAATTGTATATATTCAATACGTTGTAAATCTTCTGGACTAAGTAATCCTTGCTTTGTTTTTGATGAAGTTTGTTGACGATAATTTGATAAAATGAATAAATTAGATTTTGGTGATGAAACTAACTGAACAAAACAAAAGAAAAAAGTCTAATGAAAAATAGCAAATATGTATGATTTTACTTCATTATGAACAATAAAATTTGTATTAAGATTCATATTGAGATTTTCTTCCTTTTTAAGACGTTCGTTTGCTTTTTGTTCAGCCTAAAAATTTTTTTTGTCTTTTGTGAAATGTATATAAATATTTTTTTTTTCTTTTACTAAATACCATTACAAGTCGATCACATCGCATTCCACTTTTAAAACATTTTGTTAAACGACATGCAGAACATCGACGGCGAGAATCAAATGTTATTTCACATAAACCTTGTCGAGGACATTCAAGTGACTATGAAAGAAGTTCGTATGAGAGAATTAACTTGTTATGAAAATTTACTGGATTTTTTAAAGCATTACGACGAAAGAAAGATTTGCAACTTTCACATGATATTGCATCAAAATTATATCCAAGTGCTGGTGCTCCACAAATAAC